CGTCTCGCCTCGTGGCGAGGTGGGGAAACTCGGCGAGTCCGTAATCTCTGGTCTATAGTTCTTTATTCACACAGGGTATGCATGATGGAATAGTTCCTTTCAGTAGAGGGTTAGCGACGTTTGCGTCGCGTTACTTGTTTTACTTTTTTGTGGAACGCAAAAAAAGAATATCATTCACCAAATCAGGTGAAATGTTTGACCATCTTTCAGAAATGACTTTACCTGCAGCACTAACAAATAGTTCAACGGTCTTCCTTCTCTTATGTATACAAACTGAAAACTCTATCACTATTAACAGGCAATGCATTTGCATTGTATGTTTGTTAAATCTCCATGAAGAGAAAATAGTAAAAATGAGACAGAAGAGTATATGATACATACCTTCTTGAACTACTAAGCTTTTCCATTCACTTCGATACAACTTTTAAATGAAAAAGCATTCGAAATGATTTTTGATATTTAATCAATATTCAGACAACCGACCCGTGTCGAACAGTACGAATCATTGTGAGTAGAAACGATAAAACGAATACTGCATGCTTTGGAACTGTCAACAGAAATTAGAATCAATGTACATGTCGTATGATAGTTTATACAAAGAAATTTTACAACAGAACCAATTGACAAGAGGATATTCAGGGGTACCAGAACAATAAGTACTCTTAATCGATTGGATACAGATCATTTTTTATATATATGAAACTGTTGTCCATCTTTAGTTGTTTCCCGGTGTCAGTACGAATTGAGGAAGCAATTCTATTTATCAAAAATAAGGTAAAATATCTGATCTCTGATAGAAACATTATGCGTTAAAGTAGTGAATAGTTGTCTGTTTTCGCGCAAGTAAGTTGGTAATAAAACATCCAAATTTCAGAAATGTACTTCCACAATTTTATACTTATCCAATGACACAAAACACTTACTAAAAAAATAGTGAGCGAAATATTCTAGGCACCTTCAATATGTAGAATTTAGGGGATCCTGGGCACCTTCATTATGTAGGACTTGAGGATCCAAGGGTATCCTCAGAACGAAGGACTTAAAGGACAGTGGGTATCTCCAATATATAGTGCTACTAATCCTAGTTCTTTACTTTAACTTTAACTGTTAAAGTTTAAAGTGACAGTCTCATACCTAGCACAGACTGCATTGTCACACTCTAAAAGGAATTCAAATGAGACACAGATCTGACCTAACGAATATTATACAATTTGTGATTTATTTATGGTTATATCAATTGTTATTTGTATTTCGATTTACTTATGTCGAAAGTAGCAAGAGAAGAATAATATTACTAACTATAGTCCATAGTTAGATAGTCTTAGTAATGAGTGTCACTCATAATAATAGCGCAGAATAACTGTGTCATTTAGTTAGACTACGAGAATAAAATACAAAAATGTTAAATTTATAAGAAAAACAATTTCGAATTATTGATTTATCGTCCTTTAATAAGAAAGTTTCTTCTATACATGTGGATGTACTTCTGTGTATATAAAATAATATGATATTAATTGACTAATTTCTAAATAAATTCATAATTAATATCGTTTTATTTCATTGAAAAGATTGTTTAAATAAAAATGACATCGACTATAATGGATGTTCCAACATTACAAATTGATGCCAATGGTTTACAGAACCTTATTCGTTTTATTTATAAACATGAAAGCCTATTAAAACAATTTGGCACATTTAAAATCCGACCACATATTGATTGTAAATTGGCATTAAAAAAACGACAAAAAAACTTAGTCTTACCACCGATTACTAAGCAAATTACAAAGATGGATGCAAATGAACATATCTACTTTGTAAAAGATCTTAACTCTACTAATGAATCTTCTCAAAACTGTTCAATTGTGACAGATGAATGTAGTTTTTGGTCATCGTTATATTGTTCGAGCCAGAAACAACAATCGTTGAATATCTCATTATCATGCAATACAAGTTTTTTTTCTGAAAAAACAGCTCGCTCACTTTTTGATCTCCATCGTTTACCCAATCAATCACTTTTACAATTAACTAAAGCCCATGTACGACGACAAATAGTTCCATGTGTAAGACGAGCACATGGACCAGGTGCAATATTTCCATTCAGTTGTGTTAAACAGCGTCTTTTTTCTATTGATTATCATCATGAAGGTGGTGATCATTATTGGTATATGATTCCTAATTGTGAACGAGAGCTTCTGCAGAAAGTACTTAATGAAACAAACTCTTCTATTTGTCTCGATCATGGACAAATATTTATTGATCCTTTTATTCTGGAGAAATATTGTATTCGTTATTATCGACTTACGCAACATCCGGGCGAGTTTGTTGTTTTATCAGCTGGTACTCTATCGCAAAGTTTCACTAAAGATGCTAGTTGGAGTGAATCAATTCCTTTTGCTTTACCAAGTTGGATTGAAGATGGTCATGCAGCTATTCCATTGTGTCAATGTGATGTTTCTCACCATTCATCAGTAGAAACAATTGATATTACACAATTTACAGAAGAACGTATACAAAAATATGTACATATTTATCTTAATATAAATAATGATAATAAATTAATAACTTTAAAAGGTCCGTCATTTTATTTATGATAGTCTTTTGCTTTTATTTTGCATCATTGTAGATCATCATGATATGAATGTAATTACAAAACCAACATCAGATAATATTGAGAACAATTCATCAAATGGTATCTGATTTTTGAAAACTTCTATCTAAAAAAAAACTAGTCTTAAATTAAGTGAGAGTAAGAGTATTATATTGTTCAACAAAGATCTATTTCATATTCATTTGTCAAAAAATATCAGAAGACCTTTGTTAAAATACATTCAAGACGATCTAAACAATTGAAAAAACCTTGAAAAATCGTAAAAAAAATAGACTCGAAATAAAAATCTTAAAATAAAACATTTAAAAAGATCTTTTTTCGATAAAATTCATTATGAAATAGTAATAGTCCTGTGATTCGATCTTTATTCAAGTTCAACATGGACTAAACTCATATAATTAATCATTCTGACTCGAATCTCTGACTAAAATCCTACTATAAGATTTGGTTTTTTCTATCGATATATATTGATAATCAATATTCAATGAATTTCTGTTTTTCTTTATTATAAACAAATCAAATTAATTTTGTATTTTAATTTAGTTGAAATGATGACATCAACAAATATGGAAGTGATTGATTCATTCCAACCAACAACATCATCTTTAACAATATCACCAATATCGCTGTTACCGTCATTATTTAACAGTAGTGCTATATTGGAGAAAGATAATCGAAATATCGACGACACCAATATTCCAGTACAATATAAAGTATTAGAGTAAGTAAAATATACATGAATAAATTATTTTTCGAAGAATAAATATAGGGCGATCTAGCTTTTATCAGAAAAATCTTAGCTACAGAAAAATTCTTTTCTAAAATAATCTTTTGCTTCTAACATTATCTCAATGTACCATTATGGTTAACTAATTGAGAAAAGACACATTTACTATTATGTATTAATTTATGATGATTTTTTAATTGTCTCATATTGTTCCTTTTTTGACACAATTGGTAATAAATATCATCACAATTTAAAAACAAATGAATCACCTTATTCAAATTTTATAAAATATTTTCATTAAAAAAGTTACTATTTCTTTTATTTCTACGTAGTATAATATTGAGCTTTTGTAGAAGAAATATTTCTTACGTGTCGGACATCGAATTTCTGAGATATAACGGTCTAAAAGTTTTTGAATGTTTCATTTCAAATACAAACAGTGCTATTTACTTAATCTTAGAAAATACAATTAATTTCAAATAACAATTCCATTTTGCCAACACTACACAATAAAAAGTAGTTGAATAAGAATATATTATAAACTACAGTATCGCACTTTATTGAGATTAATACCGCATACGAATGATATACTTTAGATGTGTCGATATTCCCATAATTTCTAATTTCAATTATTGTCGAAGAAAATTCTCTTTTAAGAAAGTACTAATTCTAGTTATCATTATTTCTAAAAATTGATTTCTTTTTGTCAAGCATGAAAAGTCACCGCCGCCAGCAAATTTTATTTTGTAAAATATGAAAAAAATTTCTTCTTGATCTTCTACATTTGAACAGTGTAATTTCTGCTTTGAATTGTTGAATTATTTTAATCTATTATCCGTCTTTTAGTATTCTAAAATAGTAACACTATTGCTACATTAGATATTCCTCTCCCATTGCCATACGATAAACATGATTGTATTTTGTTCAACGGTTTCAGTATTATTGAGTTGAGAATTGACGTTTGTCATCGTCACAGCATAGTGTAACAATAAAACTTATCTAAATGATAATGGACCAGAGAATGTTTTCTACGAGAATACATATTTATAATAGATATAAAGTCGTACTATCGACTATTTCCTTCGATAAAATCGGTTATCAGTGAAACAAATACTGATGTCTTAGCTTATTTTAATCTATGTGAAAAATTGAAACCCTATTAAAAGTAGTTCTATTCTGTCTTTTATATTGTAGAGAAGGTATTTTTCCAGATAAATCTGGATGGAATGTATCCGAAGCGACATTGATCAATTTTATTTCGAGTGGACATCAGTTGGCATCGAATATGCAAACAAATCAACGTCATCAAATTACATCTACATCTACAAATATTCAACAGAATGTTATGCACAATTGTAACATGGCTAATCGTTTTCCTTCCATTGAAGAACTCTTAGATTTGGTACCTAATATGGCAGATGATACAACATCCATATATGGATATTCTCATGAAAGCAATTATTCAGTAAGCAACGATAAAAAATCATTAATAAATGAATGAAACCATCTTTTTCTCAGTAGTACCAATGTTGAGAATAAATCTAAAATTTCAACTATGACATGTATGGTACCATCTCGAAAGAGTTTTCTACCGAGATATAACTAAGATATAAATGTTTTAAAACATGGTATTGTAACAAAATGAAGAAATACAGGAAATTCTTATTTTCAGAATACTATATAAAAGCTCAATAAAATTTAGCCATTGCTTACTTTTTAATAGTTTTAATTTTTTGATAATATATTTTATTTGAGTCGAGTAGTTATCATGGAATAGATCTTAAACGTTTATATATAGAAACTGATGGCAATATATGAATGAAGCTAGAGTCAAAATCTATCAAGGAAAATTTGATTTACTTTTTGAATCCTTTAGTTCGAAATTTGTCTGGGAGCTATCGACTAAATAGTAATCAGAAATTTTAGAAAGATAAAAATTAAAATGTATTAGAATTTGCAAATAACGCATTACATCACATGATACTGTCACTTATTTGACGGATTATAGCGTTGTAAAAACGTATGATAAACTCTTGTTTCATTGTTAAAATACACAATAATCTTTTTGCAAATCAAAAAGGAAAAAACCCCTTTATTATGTTCTGTATATATGAATAAACAGTTTGTTACACGTTGAAAATTCTTAAGCCTTTTTTCCGTGGACTAGCAATTAAAGATCGTTTGTTTAATAAATTACAGAAATGTGATCGATTTCGGCGACAGAAAATATTGATAAATGTGAATGATAGCAGAAACTAGTATGTATATTATCAAGGATTCTTAAGAGCCAACTGTAACGAAAAATATATATAATTCCGTTAGTGACAAATGGAGAGGCACATACGCCTTTTTGTCCCATTGTGGGCTAGATGTTTATTCGGCTGTGCGCAACATCCAAGTGTGTCAATCTCATATACAACATGAGCTTATATACGAGAGAGAGAATAAGGAAAAGGAAAAGATACAATAAATCAGAAGAGAAAAGAGAAAAGAAGAAGAAGGGAGAGATACAGAAAAAGAGGAAGGGAAAGATATCAAATATATAGAAAAGAACGTTCATTGACAGCTGCTAATTGAATTTGCATTATGACATCCATGTAATATAATCCTTGGTATCATGTCATAAGGAAGGACGTAGCTCGTCTGAAACATCTTCAATTCACCTTGTCTTGTCTGAGTGATGTGCTCCTTGGCACACCAACACTAATATTCGTTACTAAACAAATAATTTTGAGTTTGCCCATAAATTTGTGAACATATGGCAAAGTTTGACATTTTTGTAACAAATCAGTTCAAAAATAGAACCATTTTTTTCAGTTTTCCTTAATGAAAAAAATCCAAATTGGATCGGACTGCATCTTTCGGCCATTTTTGGAAACTGTATCCTCCTATTCGGGCGTTTTCACACCCCCATTGAAAACGATGTAGCCATTTTCATTCGTCTGAATATTTAAATGTTGAATTCTGAAAACTTCTAAAATTAAATTATCCTTTCGACGGACTTTACTTGACATGCCTGCGATGCTGATGCTTAAGAGAGAACCCATGAGCCCATCGAGGATTCGAAGCACTCGTCAAAATTTAGTTTTTCGATTTAATGTTCTCATCTTGTTCAACATCATCGAAAACCTCTAAATCCAAATTTTTAGCGCATTTGGTTGTGTTGGTGAAAAGTTAGCCCAGTTCGACTCTCAAGGACTCTTGAGAAAATGATCAAAATTCGTTAATATGAAGTCGAGTGTTTTTAGGCAACATGAAACTAACGAAATTTTTAGTGTAGTATACCAAAAGATAGAGCGTGAAAAGCTGAACAAAATTAACTATTTTCATATTGTGTTTCAGTGTACTGATTCTGAGTTATTCATCAAATACTCTCATTTTTCTCATAAAAGATGTACCAGTTTTTTACAGTGTATCAGCTGCCATTTATTCATTTTAAAAGTCCTCAGACTGAATTTCGCGTGTGATATACAACTTTTTTTTGTCTACAAAATGGTTATAAAAAAGTTTAAAAAAAACTTTCCCCTCGTGTCGAAAAATAGCTAATACCGTCGATAATGCAATGCACTACCTCTAGAAACAACGACCCGGAGTGCTATTCCATGTCTTTTATTCATGAAAATTTTCATCTGGGAGAAATTAAAACTTCATTCTAAATAGAATGGCATAGGTAGTACTTTCGAAAAAAGAAAAAAATTTTTTGACCTTCTGCATCCTTGAGGGAACCACAGGCATTTCGACAAAAATTTTTTTTCACAAAATCCAACAAAAGACATCCAAATCGATAGAGCTGGGAGCGCTGATCACCGTCATATGGTAAAAGTCCATTATCCATCATTATTTAGTGGTATAGTATGCATTACAAACGTCAAATGTTAGCCACAGGTCCTCACGCCATAAGTCCCATCACACACTACTAGTTTGCGATTGCTAATACATTTCCACCATATGCTGGTGATCAGCGCTCTCAGTTCTATCGATTTGGATGTCTTTTGTTGGATTTTGTGAAAAAAAATTTTTGTCGAAATGCCTGTGGTCCCCTCAAGGATGCAGAAGGTCAAAATTTTTTTTTCTTTTTTCGAAAGTACTACCTATGCCATTCTATTTAGAATGAAGTTCTAATTTCTCCCAGATGAAAATTTTCATGAATAAAAGACATGGAATAGCACTCCGGGTCGTTGTTTCTAGAGGTAGTGTACCGCATTATCGACAGTATTAGCTGTTTTTCGACACGAGGGAAAAGTTTTATTTAAACTTTTTTATAACCATTTTGTAGACAAAAAAAAGTTGTATATCACACGCGAAATTCAGTCTGAGGACTTTTAAAATGAATAAATGGCAGCTGATACACTGTAAAAAACTGGTACATCTTTTATGAGAAAAATGAGAGTATTTGACGAATAACTCAGAATCAGTACACTGAAACACAATATGAAAATAGTTAATTTTGTTCAGCTTTTCACGCTCTATCTTTTGGTATACTACACTAAAAATTTCGTTAGTTTCATGTTGCCTAAAAACACTCGACTTCATATTAACGAATTTTGATCATTTTCTCAAGAGTCCTTGAGAGTCGAACTGGGCTAACTTTTCACCAACACAACCAAATGCGCTAAAAATTTGGATTTAGAGGTTTTCGATGATGTTGAACAAGATGAGAACATTAAATCGAAAAACTAAATTTTTGACGAGTGCTTCGATATCATACATGATGCTCGATGAGCTCATGGACTCTCTCTTAATAAAGTTTCATTGTATAGTCTCGATTATTTGGAATAAGCTTTGTGGACTGTTTGACAATGAAATAAAACTCGAAATTTATTTATAGACTGGTCCATCAACAACTTCATCGAATGAATACATAACAGTTGTTGGTGAGCGAGATCGTTTGAAAAAGGAAGAAATATTTAATCAAGGAAATATTGATCTTAGAAAACTATTTGTGTCTGGATTAAGAAATGAGATTAATGCAAACGATATACGCAAACATTTCATTAGATGTGAAAAGGTGATAATAAAACGATATCGCACAACACCACATCTAAAGTATACCAAAGAAGCATTCTATATTTTTGAATGAAATAATATTTCGTTTTTTAGATATGCTATTGTTGTTCATAGAACATCTCTAGAAGCTACAGAAAATCTTCGACGACCCATTGATCTCAATGTTTTTGGTAATGAATGTCGTGTTGAATATGCCAGACGTCGTTCAATACTTCATGGTAACCAACAAGATTTTGATCAGAAGAAAGTTGTTGTTAGTCGTATACCGGAAAATGTTAGCGAAAACGACTTGTGTCATTCATTTCCCAATTGTCGTTTGATAGAATATTGTCCAGCACGCACCGTTTATTGCGAAACCACGATAACAAATATGAAAGACAATAGCAATGTATTATGGGGGTAAGATCATTGAACTTTATAATATTATTCTACTTAGCTTCGAATGTACTTTTCCATCTCTTACATCTACAGTATGTATATATATATATACGGGTGGGCCATAATGAATTGCACTAAATGTTTTGATTTTTTTCGTTCATTTCCTATTCAGGAAATATATTCATTTTTATATTAAAAGAGAGAGAATTTCAAGCTCTGCAAAACTGTCTACTTTGTTTTTCGAATACATTTTTCCTTCGGTGCTTAATTTAAAAGATTCATATCTACTCAATCATTCAACTGCGATTTGCTATTTTCTGCTGCCATTTATCGATTAGTGCAAGCTTTTGCTCATCACGGCCAATGATAAAAATAAAGTATTTAACACCACTAGATAGAGAATTTTGTGGTCTATCCTTCCATGACCTTTTCAAGGTTCCTGGTGCTGTTGTTTAGGAGAAAAATGCTCAGAACTAACACCTGTCGTTATTTTAGGGCGCACTTTGGAAAGTCATGTTGTTAAAAGCCAGACTTGCTCTATGAAAGATTTATTATTATATTATCGGATGTAGAATTCAATTCTGAACAAAATGGTGTAACTGTCAAATTGAACAGGGAAAAAAGTTAGGTTGTTTTGAATTAAAAAAATGAACTATGGTCCAGGTTTATCAGAAAAGGGCTTTTTCGTTGTTTTCACATATTTTGCTTACAAACTGTTTTTCTCAAATATTTCCTCTCAAATTCTCAAACATGCAATCAAAGATGTAGAATTTTACGGAGAATTTTGTAGCACAGTTTAAATTTTCAGCTGAACCATTATTAAAAACTTTTCATCGTTTTTTTCGTTTTTTTGCCGTCGCAGTTGAATGATTGAATAGATGTGAATCTTTTTAATTAAGCACCGACAAAAAAAATGTATTCGAAAAACAAAGTAGACAGTTTTGTAGAGCTTGAAACTCTCTATCTTTTTAATATAAAAATGAATATATTTCCTGAATAGAAAATGAACGAAAAAAACCAAAACATTTAGTGCAATCCATTATGGCCCACTTGTTATGTATTCTACAATAATTAGTTCACTATAAGAAAGAGCTTGAAGCAATTCTAAACTGGGTGGATTGCTGACGAAACATAAGACTACTTACTACTTAATTTATCTTCTTCAATTCAATTTTATTATTATAAAGAGCCCTACAAATAGATAAACAAACAGACAATAGATGATGATTATATCTGTCGTATGAGAATAAAATACTACACCAAAGTAACCACTAAACTGGCATAATCATTCATTATCTTAGTCTGATAAATTCGTCAAAATGGTGTAGAAAGTTTTTTTAGAATCTCTTCAGCTTTACAATTGGAACTTTTGATTAGTTCAACGTACAGACTATCATCAAAATTTACTTTCAATGTTCTACAGAATCATAATCCTAATAGCAGAAGAAATTATATCAGAATCTATTTTTGATCTCTGCATTTTGAAAGTCTCAAGAGTTACAGATACATCCATAGTGGATTCTACTTAGAAAAAGTAAAAAAGTCTGTTAAGTTTTAATCAAAATAACTTTTCGTTTTCTAATCTTTCTCAGAATCATGTTCAGGTCTTTTCAAGACGAAACACATTCGTTTTCAATAAGAATGTAGCTCAACATTAGATTTCATTATATTCTTGTTTCGATCTAGATAAAGGTTTAAAATTCCGAAATTCAGCAGCCTTCGATTATGTTGTCGATTCGAGTTTCTACATAAGAGAATAGAGAAAATTTAGACAAAAACTTTGATGTTTTACTCGAATATTTTTGAAACCAATATTAATATAGGTTCTGTGATATTGGGACGACAAAAGCATTTGTTTCTATGTTTTATTGTTACATGAGACTTATAGTGGTTTAGATATTATATGAATCTTTTCGTGACACAAACAATGTTTCGTTAGATTCAACAAGAATTTTAAGGAAACCTATTTGAAAATCAGTTGATCATGGTAAAATTAGAAATCTGTTTTTCCTTTCCAATAATAGACATTTCTAAACCAGAGTTCATATCTGGGTGAATCCATGGATATCCTACCACTTTTTGGAAAGTTTTATTTTCGATTCTTTTCGATTTTTGTCTCGCCAGAAAGACCAAACAAGTCTAGAAAACATTCTTGGCCAAAAAACAAAGTAACGTTTTCTGATGAGATCCCTGAGTTCGAGGTCATTTTTTCGGTACATGTCATGAGATCAAATATTTTATTACATTGTTTTCGACTGATACTTGGCCCATTAGTAGGGGACAACTAGACAAAAATAACCTCAAAAGAATTTTTCTTTTGACTGAGATTTAACCGACATATGAATGTTTCAAAGTATAGAAACACAGAAAATTCCAGTATTTTCAAACATTCATATGTCAGTCAAATCTCAGTCAAAAGAAAAATCCTTTTGAAGTTATTCTTGTCTAGTTGTTCCCTACTAATGGGCCAAATATCAGCCCAAAATAATGTAATAGAGTGTTCGATCTCCATGGCATGTACCGAAAAAATGACCACGAACTCAGGGATCTCATCAGAAAACGTTACTTTGTTTTTTGGCCAAGAATGTTTTCTAGACTTGTTTGGTCTTTCTGGCGAGACAAAATCGAAAAAAAACCTTTTCCAAAAATGTGGTAGGATACCCATGGATTCACCCATCTAAAACGAAATATATTTTATGTCTAATATCTAACATTGAAATTGTATTAAATAACATAACATACATTCAACTGAGTAAGCTACATACTCTCTCGTTTGAGATCTTACTGATCTATAGACTACAAAGAAACTTGATATTAGCATCATAGAAACGTCTTGTGAACGCGAGTTTCTTCAATGATGTAAATCTAAGAAAACAAAAAGACAAAATTTGATTTTAGTTATTATAGTTACATAAACACGAATATTAGTGTTATAGTTGATAATAGACCTTTTTTGTTCGTTACCGATAGAAAAGTCTCATGCTAATTCTTTATCTAGATAAAAGGAGTCATGTTTTATGGGGACAATAGAGCTTATGCATGTGTCAATTTGCACAGGAATTTTGATTTTTTAATCTGAAAAACGAAGATAAGATTATCAGTACAGTTGTGGAAGCAGATGCAGCACACGCAATATCACTTATTGATGCAGTCACAACACTAACATCTATAAAAACAGTTGATGAGATCTTGAAAATAACCCACTGATTACATTTGAACTAGCCAGTTAGTTCGATTTTTTCGACTATGACTCAATTAAATGCTAGTTTTATTATGTAACTTAAATCGATGAGTTGTTTTGTTCGCTCAATTTTTGTATGAATATCCGTATTTAATACTTCGTTGTACGTGAGATGATAAATCGCAATCATTTGATTAATAAACATTGTCTCTGACGTGATTTTCTATCTCGTAAGAGTATATAGAAAGAATAAACGATAAACTACAACATTTTCTCAGATTCTATATAGTAGTAAATTTCGCTCGTAAAATAATAGAAGAATAGAGAATAGATATTTTTCATAATGTGGCTGTACGTGTGGCACATTTCTAGTATATATAAATCCGTAGCTGATGAGGATAATAAAATGTTTTTGGTAAACTTATCTATATTCTTTTTTATTCCCAAAGAAAATATCTCGCGTTTGTTTGAGAATATTACCAGGAACAATAAAGAAATTTCATGATGAGTTTGTTAAGTTTAACATGTATTTATTATAGAATGTGAGAACATTTGAACTACTTTGTACAATCTAATTTATATTCATATACTACTTACGTTGGCTGAAGAATATCTTTCATCTTATTTTTCATTATCCTGGGACTTAACACGTTAGTTTGGAAAAGCGTTTAGAATGTCCATAGAATTCTTATTCTGCACCTATCTAATTAGTATCTTAAATACTCTATTGTTCAAACCTATCGTGCTACAAGATAATTTTTATTCATCTTTCTTTTATTGATTTTTTTTATAGACATGCTATTCTTCTCTATGATAATGAACAATTAGTAGCTAATGTAATCGAACATGCTGAACAATACTGGATCAATGAACAACAATTAACTGTCTCCTTATATCGCAATAAAAGATCGTTGTGTCCAGCAAGAAAATAACTATTTGTCGACTGACTGTCTATTTTTCTTTTCATATTAGGTTGGCAACAAAGTTTTTGCGTTTTTTTCAAAAATTTTATTTTTATTTTTTAAGTTCAACAGTACAACTAGCTTTCAGTTATATATGCACCACTACTATCTATGACTTGTCGCCAACGCTCTGGCAGAGATAGGATCCCGCGTTCGTAGAAGTCCTGAGACTTTTGACCAAAGAAGTTGGCGATATACATTTTCACGTCGTTCTCGTCGTCGAACTTTTTCTCACGCAAATGATGAGAAAGAGAACGAAACAAATGGTCGTCAGTTGGAGTCAAGTCAGGAGAATAAGGTGGATGAGGAATAGTGATCCATCCGAACTTCAATAGTTTTTCGCAGGTCAACTTTGCAACATGGGGTCTTGCATTATCATGCAAATAGTAAACTTTATCCTGCTTTTCCTTGAGTTTCTCGACAATCCGATCCAGTTGTTGACAGTAGAGATCAGCAGTGATGATGCAACCATTTGAAAGAATTTTCCAATGAATAATCCCATTGACACCCCACCAAACGCTCAGCATCACCTTCTTGGGGTGTAGATCAGCCTTAGACGTTGCTACGCCTGTTTGACCAGAGCTTAGCCACTGGTGTCTGTGCGTGTAGTTAATATACAACACCCACTTCTCATCGCCGGTGATAAGATTGCGGAGCCATTGATAGTTGCAGTGAGATCTCATTAAATCCATACAAACGTCAACCCTGTATTGAAGCTGATGTGCTGATAACTCATGGGGTATCCAAACTCCATATCTCCATGTTTTGCCTAATTCGTTCAGATGTTTTTCCATCGCAGTATAAGAGCTCCCAAGGTGCTTTGCTAAACATCGCGAAGTCAATCGAGGATCTTGTTCGATATGTTACTTTAAGAGATCTACATCCACTTTCAGTGGTCTATCGGATCGAGGTAAATCATCGAGTTCAAAATTACCGTTCTTAAAACGATTGAACCAATGTTGTGCCGTACGGGTGGAGAGCACATCCTCGCCCATCGTGCTGCATATGTTGTTGGCTGCTTCCGTTGCGTTGTGACCCAGGCGGAATTCATAAAGTAAAAACACTCGAATCTCTCTACCAGAAAGATTCATTTTCAGTTCATGATCAGCGTCCTTATCGATGACTTTATTATCATTCGAAAGATATTCACACTCCCTTTATATACCCTTAGTATGGAACCTTGAACTTTCTCGAATGTTTTAGAACATTTTCAAAAACAACGCAAGAACTTTGTTGCCAACCTAATATTTGTATTGAAAATAAAAAACCAACTATAATCTTTTTATAACTAAAAATAACATCGGATGGAGGAATAATTGATAGAGAAGTACAATAATGCCCAGGTTGAAAAGTATGTCGGTCGTTTCCTGACAGACAGAAGTGAAAAGTCTCTGGAAGTCATTGGGAAAGCCTATAGACTCTCTGACCGAGGTACTGCGTTCATGTTCCTATGTTCTCCAATGTCCTTCTGCAGGTTCCGGTTGGAAATAGACTGATCTGGGTGTCAGAATGTTCTGCAGGATATGGAAGTAAAGTATGAAACATGATCCAACCTTTTTGTACTTAAATTACTAAGACATATGGTGTCCCTGTGACCGGAGAACGTTGTGCAGTTTTCTTTCACATTTGTTATGATGTATTTCTAATGTGTCTATCATATCTATGAAAGAAGATATGTGGAGTCCGAATATCTACTTTTATTTCTTTTGGATTGTATTTTACAAAGACCAGACTTTTGGGATATGTTTTGCTACTTCAATTGATATTCTTATCTGACTGTAGTGAACCTTTTTGTCGACGTTGTAGTTGCAGTTCTGCTTTTGCTGGTGTTGTTTGAAATAATATACATTATAATATACATTATAATGTATTATATTGTCGTAAAAATAATGAATATAATTACAAAATAATCCAGCTTGTTTGACGCATTACTAGAAAATAAACTTGAAAGCGCTTTCGATACCACAAAAGGAAGACTTTATATTGATCGCTTCTAAAAAATTAAACTCTAGATTTTGTACAAAACATTTTCGCACTGAATCTTTTTATCAAATTAAAAAGAAAGTCTTCGTACATAATGATTAGCTCATAACCTTTTCTCGTCATCTATTCAGTCAATCTACAATAGAAAACCATTCAGTATATTTTATATAATAAAACTTGATCACAATCATGTTACTTTCATTACCTGTGAGATATGAATAATATGAATAGAAAAATACGATTGTTTTAGAAGATAATACTTACCGTTGAGATGAGTCAGTGTAATAGATAGGATCTCTTCGAGACGAGCGCTTCTGATAACGAATTTCTCCAAAATCGATCTATATCCTATAGATACCGACTATACACCTATATCAGTTGTTACACACTTAGCGTTCGGGATGTTTCTAAACATTTCAAAGGTACGTGTAAATATTGGAAATTGTTGTAGTCCACCACAGCAGAAAGCAAACGTCTAGTTCAGTAAATTCAAAGAATTATTTATCCTTGAAACTTTTTCTTTAACAAAGTATTTTTAGATACGAGGATAGATCATTATCGAAGATAGGGCAATAGATTTACATAGTTATGTACTCCTGAAGTCTGTTCAAATGGCAATGATTCTCTAACATTGTCAGCTATTTATATAGTTTGAGATTGCAACAAACAATAGTGAATAAGTTGTTGGCATATAGCTTATGAATGATAGTTTAAGACTATGCTGAAAGTGCAATGTGAAATGTTTTGAAGGGACCCTCTCTTCCTTTTCGGGGTTTCTGAGGAACAGGATGGTCAAAATTTTCTAAAACTCTCGGTGTCGATAGACTTTGATGAGTAGATTAAAAATTGTCATAGACGCAAAATTCCCAGAAGTCTCCTTGTTAGAATTTCTGGGAACCCAAGACTTAAAAATGACCAGAAATTTTCTCCCTCGCAAAACCCCAGTCTTCATTATTCTGAGCTGAGACTTTCTGCATGATGACTAACACCCGAACGGGGTGCATGTTTTTATCTAAGCAAAACACTGAACATCCCTAAAAAAACTTTGAATTTTTGGATGTTACGAACTTTATGAAGGCTGCCAATTTTCATAGGAACAAAACTTCAAAGAAAGAAAAAAAAATACGCACTCCAATCAAGTCGAACTAATTATAAAATTTTCAGTCTAATCGGCCCAACCGTTTCGGAGAAAAAGGAGGAAAATTTTTTTTACCCCTCAAAAACGGATTTTGAGAAAAATGCAAAGTTATGAAAAATTTCGTTTTTTCATTTATAATCTTTTTCATCTTGAATTATTATAGATTTTGCTTACGCGCACATTGAATGTGCATAGAAAAAATCATTTAAGAGAAATTTTTATCTAGTTCAGTAAAAAAAAAACAAAATTCTGCTAATAAAATGCATTTTTTTGCGACACATACTTCTGAAATTTAACTTTTTTAAGAATTAAAAGACTTAATATAGTTATTAGTTTTAAAGCATGAATAGAGCACACCTAGATGCACCTTAAAAAATGAAAATCAACAAAAAAAGTTCTAGCCTGGAAAATGGGGTCGCTTAAATATTCTTCATGAAGTCGTCTCTATGGTTTTCTCGCAGCATGATAACGCTGTATTCGTGTTTTGTTAAAAGCTATTCTAAATACTACTTTATAAATTTTTAAGGATTAACTGAACGTGCAATGTATATTTATATCCTTGGATATTAGACGGCGAATTCCTTTACGTACGATTAAAAATACTAAATACTGATAGTAGTAATACCAATATCAAATAATATGGATTTCACATTGAGCCGGAGGTAAGAGAGAACAGTTCAGTAACGATAGGTTACATCTGAATGGTTTTTACTATTTTAAAGTATAATATATACAGAGTGACGTTGATCAAAAAACATGGGCAAGAGAAAAGGCAGCTCAATAATTCAAGTTTATATAGATTTAAATACAGTGTATTCTATTTTTTCTTAACGAATGGCAACTTTAGAATGTATGTAAAAGCATTTAAGCATATATCATACTAAATGATTCTAAAGCTTCTAAAAAAAACTATTATTTTTTTTACTTCAAAATAAGCACTGGACAGAACACTCACTCGTTCTTATAAGAAATACATTGATCTAAATTCGCACACGGGATCATGTTTCACCACCTACAATAGAAAGAAAATGGTTTACTCTTGAAAAATAACATTAACAACTATGAATAAGAAAACGAATCTATGCGGGTGTGGGTGCGGGTGACTCTGGGTATGGGTGTCTCTGGCTTTCTTGCTACATTCGCTTCCCACCTTCACCCCTTGCACCCACACCCGCTCTATATCCCTTGAATTTCTTAAACTTCCTACATTTTCTTGAATTGCTTGATTTTCTAGAATTGCCTTGAATTTCCATAATTCCATGGTGAATGAGACCCCTTTTTCGAACATTGTTTGTGTATCCCTTGAATTCTTTGAATTGCCATCGATTTGTTGAATTGCTTGATTTTCCATAATTCTATGATTGATTAGACCCCTTATCTCTCATTGACTGTGTATCCATTGAATTCCTTGAATTCCCTTCAGTTTCTGGAATTGCTTGATTTTCCACAATTTCCTTGAATTTCTATAATTCCATGGTTGATTAGACTCCTTATCCCTCATTATTGTTTGTGTATCACTTGAATTCCTTGAATTCCCTTCAGTTTCTGGAATTGCTTTGAGTTTCCATAATTCCATGGTTGATTAGACACTTTATCCCTCGTTGTCTGTGTATCCCTTGAATTTCCTTCAGTTTCTGGAATTGCTTGATTTTCCAGAATTTCCTTGAATTTTCATAATTCCATGCTGGATGGGACTCCTTATCTCTCTTTGACTGTCTATCCCTTGAATTCCTTGAATTTCTTTCAGTTTCTTGAATTGCTTGATTTTCATGATTTGCTTGAATTTCCATAATTCTAGCATAGATCAGATTCATTACTGCTCATAGGCTGTATATAGCTAGAATTGCTAAAATTGCCAATTCTGAGATCCTAGGGTTATCTCAACTCGGTAAAAGAGATTAAAATGTTCAACTAGTTTAACGTGATCTTTTGCTTTACAAGAACTTGATAATGGTTCTATATACAAAATGGTTCCAGAAGAAGTTAGCTTTAAGGATAAAAATCGAATTTGGATGACAAGGCGACAACTTCCACTCGGTCTTGGCTATGCAATAACAGTTCATCATTCACAATGCATGACTTATAATAAGCTAGTTGTTGATCTTACTGGTATAAACTGGAAGCCTGGAATGTTTTATACAATTTTGAGTCGTACGAGAAAATTGAGTGATATTATCATCTTGGCATATGACCGAAAATCATTCAAAGTAATTTATTTTTTCGTCACTCTCTATCAACATGTATTAGACGACTAGGTATCTAAAGCTGCACTCAATGAAATGCGTCGTCTTGAAAAAATTGAAAAAGATTATCCGATTAAAATTGCAACAATATTTGGGGACTGATGTTAAATCTTGTTCTTGTTTAAGTGTCTTAGTTTATATATTATTATAGAGATATATTGATTGGTGTCTCCCTTGCTTATCTAACATGAATAAATCTTCATCAATATCATCAAATAGAAATAGTATACCAATATCAGCTTGTGGTGATGTCAAACGATTCAAATCTGAAAATTCAAATTTATGTACAAGGGTATGTGTAAAAAAGCCTGAAGATATTATCATCTGTGAGAAACAAGAAGAACATTATTGTGGAAGACACGTGCTCCGTGTACTTTCACAACGACTTGATCTATTTTGTGACGAATATTTGATAGAAGTTGTTCAAAATATAACAGCTGCTGAACAAATATGTCGGTATGGAGAAGCTATAGAAATTAGGGATTATTATTATGAAAGCACTGGAGATTATGATATTCAAATCCTAAAAGCGGCTCTTATGAATACCTTTAACATTGATCTGATACAAATTCATACATTAGAAGCAAACACTTCATCTGTACAGAGTCTGATTCTGTCTAATATTGAAAATGTGCAAGGTTTAATTATTCAACAAGATTATCATTATTACTGCTTACGTCGTTTCCGATTGACAAAAGATTATTTTTTCAAAATAGATTCGAAGCATCCAGTCCATCATGAACCTATTCATCGTCACGATATATTAAATTTTCTTAGTACGCTACTGAAGGGTGGCTCGAACATCTACGTAACCGTGCAATATATTTCGGATGCTATTCAAGACCAGCTTTCTTTAGAAAATATTGAAACAAGACAGTGGGCCTTACCAGATGCATCAGCTGATCTTGAACGATTAGCTGGCTTTTATGAAACTGAATAAATGATAGAGAAAAACTAAAGTGATTTAGCCATATAGAAAAAAAAGAGAATGATATAAGAATAAAGAAATATGTAATTGTATGCTTTATCGGGAAATTAGAAGTAGGATCACTTCTGTAATGAAAAAAACCGGTCGTATAAAATACAACATAATTCATTCAATCGAAGTTATCTTTATCCTTCTGATTAGTATTTTTCACTGTTATTGAAATGAGTTATCACGATCTTGAATAAACGTGATGTATATTTTGATACAGTTTGATAGTATAGATCAGTACTTCGAGCTGAAAGAACCGAAGAATCTGTGAACAATTTTCCCAATTTAGTTATATCAAGCCATTTGAGCGCATAGTCAAATTGAAATATATTCTCATTCTTTTTGTTTGGTTAGTGAATTAAATAATATCATTCTTTTTTGGTGTTTTACTTGTAATTATTTTTGAATCTTGATATGGCTACATCACATTTGCCTGTTTTGCCAAGTGAAATGATTGATCGATTAAGTCAGGAATTGACTGGAATGGATCCTTTTCACTTTACGATAGTCAATGAAAATCATCTTGATATTAGCAACCACCACTTAATGCGATTACTTCGTGAGCAATCTACCATTTCACTTATTAAGGAAATAAATTCGTTAGTTGGGATGCCAAACTCACCCTATATGATCGCTCAAGGTGGCATCAGCGTTGTATTATCATCACAAAAATGGAGTAATGTTGTACATGGACCATTCAAATTAAATGTGATAGAAAAATCATGGAAATATTTTTCTACAACTATGTTTTTTTTATACACTCGATTGTGGTCATTTACTCCATTCTATTACGAAGCACGTTATCCTACTCTTGATATCTTCGACTATTCATGTATGACAATTATTGTTTAAGAACTCCTTAACAAATTCTAAAAGTTTGATGATTGCTTTTTCTTTGCAAAGATCAAAACAACACTGATAAGGTCGACGATCAGTTGTAAAACATAATAAAAAAACCTTATATCGAGACAATTTTAAAGGAAAGAGAACAATTTTCATAAAAAATATATAGAAACGAACAGCTAAAGAGTTAGGGACTAAAAGAAAAACATGATGAAAAAAAGAAATTTTAGAAATATATTTGTCTCACTAAAATTTTGTTCACGTTGTCTTTAATTAGATCTTCTTCAATCACGTTCATTATGTGTTGATGAACGAGCATTATTTACAATATGGGGGAAGAATCGTACATCACCACATATTGTTATAAATTTTACGCAATTTCTACAAAATTTTACTTGTCGATATGAATATGATATTTGAAGAAGTGCTATTCATTTGGATTTGTTTGTAGTTGCTGGTGGTTCTGTGGTTCTGTCTTTATTAATGCAAGCTGCAGCGGAAAAAGGATCTGATGTTGATTTATTTTTTCTCAAAGAGAATCCAAAAATGTTTAGAAGAGCTGTGGTAAGAATTCAAAATCTTTTTTTAGATAAAAATCTAGTAAAAAATTTATCTAGTTGTTGTTTGCATGGGATATAAACATGATTTAGTTTAACGAAGTGTTTTGAGGAGTATTGATACGTTTGTTTTTTAATATTTTGTAGAATGAATTGGAAGCACGATTACAAAATAGCTATTTTGTTCGGCGTAAAACGATTTGGCCGAATAGATTAATTTAATTTGATTTATTTCGAAAATTTATGATTTAAGACATTGTTAATGGTAAAGATTTTACTACATCAGTTGTTATGCAACTCACTCGTCCAACAACCACATATACCACCATCTCACGAATTATTCATTCATTTGATCTTGATATATGTGCAGCAGCATTCAACTCGAAACAAGTAATCATCTCTTTTAGCTGTTTGCAAGCTCTAAATTCAGGTCATGCAACGTGTTATGCTCTTCCAATTTCTTCGTCTGAATTTGTGAGAAGAGTTTCACGTTTATTTAAATATCAACAGCGAGGGTTTAATATTTTATGTCCGAAAGAATTCGATATCAATGCATTTCTTGCTACAGCTGTGGAAGATTGTAAAGAAATTCGATCAGAACGAATATATCGATTTCGACGACAACATTTTGGCGATAACTGTGGTTCATTTTCAATACAGAGAAATTCTGTGAATATTATAATTGAAATTAATTTTAAAAACATGTAAAAAACATTAAGATGCATCTTGTCACAGTTCATATGAGAATTCAGTCGAGCGTGAAACGCACGAAATAATTAGAAAAAAGATTAATATGAATAAAGCTTGATTTACAATATGAATAACTGAACATTAACGTTCTTTATTATACATGAGAAAGAATTCTTAAGAAAAATTTGAGCGATGAATGAGCTTAATAAGTGAAAAACTCGATAAGAATAAAATAGATACCGATTCAATGTTTATTTTGAGTTGATGTTATCAAAGATAGTAGTTGGCGCGCTTAGAATGATATCATAATTAATTTCGCTGCTATTGTAAATATTCATTATCAAAGCAAATCGTCGAAGGTATCGACATCGGTGAAATTCTTACAGTTAATATAAATAAATTATCATGTGTATAGAAGCGTGTGCTGTATGTGGTAATGAAATTATTTTTACTTATCACGATGCCGTGGTGTTAAGAAGTATTTGAATCAGCTGATATCATCTATTACTTTTGCGCGTTCTTCTATATGTTATGATCTTTCCATTTTCCTGACGTCATCTATACTTTTCTATTACGTCATGTATTCTTCTATTCTTCATTACGTCATCTATTCATATGTATTCATCCATGACGTCATGTATTCTTCTATTCTGCTATATATGTATTCTTCTGATATCTTCTCTTACGTCATGAACTCTTCCATGACGTCAAATATACTCTTCTTTTCTCTTCGTGTTCAAAACCTATATATAGCTGCGAATTTTCACAATAAAGTATGAGTGTACAACACATACAGTTATCTTTAGCTATTACCCAATAGAAGCAATAAATGTTTCCGAAAGGATCAACTTCACAGTGGTCCAATACGCCTGCATGCATTTAGAGTATGAAGATTGCTTCTTCGATAACCATCCCAACAATGTAGCATGTATTATTTGTGGGGTGACTTCAAAGGTGCTCATTTTTAAATGAGTTAAATCGATTTATGTGCTCATTTTTGAATGAGTTAAACTGGTCTTTATTTGATCTTTATTGTTATTTTGCTTGAAGTTCAAATCTCAAATAAAAAAATGAACTGAATTAATTGTGAACTTATGAAAAAAATTGCAGGGATTCAATCAAAACATAGTGCTCGTTGTTGAGATATAAGAGTTCAGAAGTGAGATTGAAAGCAAGGTATGGTGGAACATGAATCAATTTCGGATTGGTAGCTTTTATTACGAATTGTACGATATAGATGATGTTCGCCTATGTCTATGTTTCAGTTTTAAATGAAAGCAAAATCATTATTTCAATTGAAATCTTTTATTCATTATTTTCTTCTTCCAATAGGTTGTTTTGTTGAGAAAAACCTTCAGATTTTTATTGATTATTTACAAATGAAATATTAGATTTGAGCTTTTTTAATTAACAATTCAAAATTCAAGTATATATGAATTATTTGGAGATTTCGTCATTTTTAGTTTCTAAATATAAAAACAGAAATAGGGAATCTCTTTAAGACAATCGATTTTATTCATACGTTCATTTTGTAAATCAGCTTTTGCAATCGATTTTAATTCAGAAATTATTGCACTATGTTGATCGAATTTAAATTCTACCATTAAGTTTATTAATGAATTAACCCAATTTTCTTCGTTAGGAACAGTAATATTAATATACAAATCATTAATACTCTTTAACAATGATATGATTATTGCTTTAGAAATTGATAAAGAATATTCTTCACGACTATTCATTATGATAATAATTTTTAATAAATCATCTGCTGATGTGTTACAATTCAGTATACGAGATTGACAAACATTGCATATAAAAGAATCTGATTGTTTTATAACATCATGATTTCCACATGCCTGGCATCCATATTCTTGTTGATTTGTACCTATTTGTATGATGCGACCTTTTGATGTATGTGTTACCGTAATTGACGATTCAACATTTGTTTGGACATTTTCCAAATCTTCAATGTTAATAAATCTGAGGAATAATATATATGTATACAATTCTTAGTTTTCTCTCAAAAATTAACGACACTTCTTATGATGTATCACCAACTGCTGACAATGCTATTTGACAATTGAGCAAACGACTTTAAACAAGTTTGATTTGATATGATTCGCCGCATTGTAGTTGATGAAAATTAGGTTCCCATAAAGTAAGTTCTAGTGCTCCAGTTTTATCACCAACTACAACTGTCTTTTTTAATTTTTGTATTTTTTAAAAATCGGATTCTTCAAAAAAAAAGGAGTGTCAGGCCCAATTTCACAAACTTTAATTTCAATCGTGCATAATCCATTCATCATACTGTTTTTTAAATTTTCGATCGTTTGTATTCGAACACATAATGGTCTAAATTCTAGTTCTTTATCAATTAATTTTGTCATAGCAGTACAGAAGTATTGTTCATTTTGTTCGCGTAAGTTAATAATAGATGCACCATGACCACTCAACATGGATTCGCGTAAACGTCTGTGAAGTGCGCATGATGGAATTTTGCCTAAAAATTTTGTGACGCGTACAGTTGTTTGATCCATTAATGAAACAAGAAATGAATAATGATGATTTGCATTATTACTGTTTTTTTCTAATTCCAGCAACGTTGACTATATAACCATCAAGTGTAACTAAAGATGTATTTGTATTTTGTTCTTTAGTCATATCAAACGAGCGTTTCATGTTATTCAAAAACAGTTTATTAAAAGAAGATTAAATGAAGAAAAATAACCAAATTACAAAAAAAAATTTTCTAATACGCGCCGCTTCCATTTGTTCTATTTTTTAAAAACAATTTAGGTTTCATTGCTCAATATTTCTTGAATACAGAACTTCATCTTAATGATAACGTCTTCGATATATCCTATACTACTCCTTGAATATCAAATGTATGGCAGTAGTTTCCGACAATAATATCGATACAATACCATCGTGTTTATTTCTAATCATATATCACCCTCGAATAAAATTCGACAATTATTCTAATAAATTACATCAAGGCAACATCAAATTTTTTCAATTTGCTGTTTCATTTACCTTAAAACGATGCAAGGCCATAGTTGACAAGCAAATAAATCTCTCGGTTTCGTTTCCATTATTAGCCTTGATAGCGTGAATATAAACTACCGATCCATCACCTTGATTGTTAAAAAGTCTATCCGATGTATTAAGAGAATCTATTCATTGACCTTTGAAACAATTTATTATGAAGAATAGAAAAGAGCCTCAGAATTGTGCCTTAATCCTTGGATTTCCTATTTTCTAGTGTAAAATATGTCATTTCGATGAAACATAAATATTTATTTACGTATATTCTCGCTAAATTCTAAGTGAAATTAATAAAGTATTATTTTAAACTGGTTGGTATATTGAGAAATATTCAAGCAGAAACACATTCTGATTCTTCAACATATAGTTTATTTCCATCAATTAACCACAAGCTGTTATAATGAAGTTTTTTAGAATCATAAACGAGATGTATTTGATTATTATTTGATATAAAACATAAAGATTTAAACAGTACGGGACGTTGTGCACGTTGATGAATGATAATTTGTCTACATAACAACATTGCTGAAGCAACCACTACGATCCCATCAGCAAATGTTCCATTTTGACGCATTCGATAAATAAAATCCTCCCATGACGAAAAATGTTCATGATCAATAGATGATTCAAATATTTCACGATGGTCCGATATAAAATCAATAACAATTGCTCGTAAAACAACATGTCCTTCTTGTGAACCAGTTATTTGATCACTTAATGCTCTAAAATAGCGATTTCCATCATATTTTATCGGTCGAACCGTCACATTTAATGAACATATAGTTTTAAATTCGGCAAGATAATTTGGTTCAAAACAAATATCTTGTTCATTTTGTTCTTCGCACTAAAATACGACAGAAATTAATAACTTTATACTTATTCTCAACATTTATACAATTGGATGTTTTAATACATACTTTCTCATCATGACTCAATTTCTTTTTATCATCGTCTTTTCCAGTAGCTAAATATATATCCGATCCATCTTCCAAATTCGTTTTTATTAAATGTATAATTGGACAATCATCGTCAATTTCATAAATGTTTTCAGAATTCTTTTCATGTATGCAGATGGTAATTCCATATATTTTAACGGCTGTCATAATGTAAGAAATATGTTGATGAGATTGATCATCAAATGACCTGCGAATTTTCACTCAACGTAATAACACCAATCTATAGATAAATGTATTTAACTCACCAATCATGTTGACTGTGTAATGTAGACGAGATTGAATCAGTTTCTTCTTCAGTGCCAAATAGACAATGCACATTCAAAAGAATGATCGATTCCACTAATGAAACTGATATTCAGTGCATATGTATTAAGAAGACGTTCTTCAATACAGTTGATATTGAAGCTATCAATTGAGTGAATTGACATGAAATTGATTATTTGGAACAACGAAAAATATTAAAGCAAGATATTTCTTGCAATAGAAAAATGAATAATTATATGCGCTATCCCTTTCATTATACTTTTACTCATCAAGTTTCATTCTGCTTTTTTTCGGAAAAAGGATAGAATTTAAGAAACATCTCTCTTGTCTGCTCTTCACACTCACTGAGACAGAGCATAGTGATTCAAAAATTGATATATATATTACTAAATTCGTTCATTGACAATATAAATATAAAAAGCTGGATCGTGTTTCACATTTTTAATCCCATAGGGATTGCGCTGAAAGCTTTTTTGAATGCATCAAAAATTAATTATGTTAAACTTGAAGAATGGATGCCCAAGCCACCAGATGCAGCTCCCATGGACTATTCAGTCTGGGAGTATTTGAAACAACGGCTGAACAAACAGAAAATTGAAACTCTAAGTGAACTGAAAAAAAAACTTTTATACCAGTGGAAAAATATGGATCAAACTTATATTGATAAAGTTTTAGCGTACTGGCCAAAACGAGTATTCTTATACTTAAAGCTCGTGGCTTTCATATAGAACATCGTTTGAAATTATAATGTTTTTCTTTCTTCTATAATAATGAAAATAAAACTAGTAAAAATAGCTGCATCATCCTGTATTTTTTATGTTTTACACAAAAGAGAACTACTAAAAGATTATATTTTATGCTACGAAACATTGAACGAGCGCTTGCATTGCAATAATCATGATTTCATATATATCCAATTAACAATATCTGTACTAATAATTGTAACGATTATTATTTATTTCTTAACGTTTCTTGCGTTTGATTTTACTGGCTAGCATAAGAATGAATAGATTTACTTCTTGTTTTGCGTGAACTCTAGTCACTAGTTAGTCATACTTGAATGAAAAAGATACATTCAATATAAACTTTATTTGATTGGCTCATATAGTTGTACAGAAGAACGCATTCGAAAGATTTCTTTGAGCAAAGTATTTCTGCTACGTAAGCAACAAGAGACCACTTAATGAATTAAACTCTCATCATTCACAAATTTGCTGTATTTAGGATTCATTTGGAGTCAAATAATACGTTGTGTTTAACTTTTTTTTCTTCTACCAACGGTTTCCATGCTTCTCAATTCAAAAGTATTTACCGCAAATAGCAGCTACTTATTCTCCCATTTGATATTTGGTTATAGTCATTTTTATGTAGTTTGTACTTTCCTAGAAGTACTTGAGTAAATTGGACTGATGTTGTACGACTCAGTTAGGAACACAAAGACCTTTACATCTCAATTTCTTGTTAGTGAATTTGAGTAGCTTTTATTTAAAAAATGCTCGTTAGTATCAATACTATTTATGTTAAAGTTATCAAAGTTTAAGGATGATAGTGGCAGTGCAGAAAACTCCTATCTGGGAAGACGCATGTCCTCGACTTTTAAAATATTAAGAAATGTGGTGGACGTTTTCCGAAATATTTTATTTCACACAGAATGCAAGTAATTTTGTATTAATAATGGAGTATCCATATTGATATGTAGACAACTTAGCTATTTTTAATTATAAAATTTAAAATCAAATACAACTTAAGTCAATAAGTATGTCACTCAAAAGGCAATCAGTGATTGAATTTCGAAGATAATTCTGACTTTTTTTTCGTTGAATTGTTAATATTATCAAATGTTCGGCATATACATAATCTAAAGAAGGACCTTCAAAAAAAAGATCATATTGCTTAAAGCTTCATACAGTATTCGCAGATGTTGAGCTTGAAAATTTGGTTTCTTTTTTAAAATACAGCAAATTCTAAAGAGCTATTTAATAATTAACTATGATTTTTGAAAGTGTATTTTCCTTATCAGACTATCGATAATGTCATACTTTATTATCAAGACATAAATATCTTAATAAAAAAGAAATTATCAATTACTTCTTTTACTGTTAGTTTATACGATGTTGTTTAGTACAAAATTTTTCGTTAGAATAAGTTTTGATAATTCTAGTCTGGACAACAGACAATCATAAACTTCTGTAGACGATAAAAACGAATTGACATGTATTTGTACTTCAGATGCAATTAATTATGTTAACATATAATTCACTTTAACATAATATATAAATAACTTCATGGGATTCCAATTCATCCTGTTCTGGACAAAAGGAATGGGATTTACAGATATATTAGGATAAAGTTGTGTTAGAGTGCTAAAGAAGGTAATAAATAAAAGTGAAAACAACTAAGATATCATAGGTAACCAGAACATTTAATTTTCACAATTAGCATGATTATGTATAAAAATAATTAAGTTACGAGTTGTTTTTCTTCTAAATCGATTTTTTTATTTAAAGAACAATAGCAGCATTAGACAATCAAACGAATCTTGAATGATTTGTTGCATATTATTTATGTTTGAATAATGCAATAATATTATTCATAAACTATGAGTTTTATTGATTGTACTTATATATTTTCAAATTGTCAAATCAATATCCAAGAGTCGATTACTTTAAAAAATCATTGATATATGCAGTGTGTTAGTCTCCCACTCAAATCACATTCAGTAATTTTATAAGTGCTTTACTTTGAGAATCTTAATGTAACCGTTTTGGTTCAAGTTTATGGAGAGCAGTCAGACTAACCAACTGCTATTCGTTTCAAAATAAAAAACAACTGACTGTTAATTGAATAACTTTTGATAGGAATAAGATAAAGACCTGCGATTTTCACCATTCAATAGGGAACAGAGGGGCCCATCCAAATATGTCAATTTTCATTGGCCAACATATGGGCTAATCAGATGAACTTCTTGATGAACCTTATTAAAGCAAGATTGTGAAGGTCAATTTCTGATCCAATTTTGACTTGTAATATTACTATCCGATAGCAAACATTGCTCTTTATCATGTAGGGATTTTCTAGAAACTTCCTTTTTCTGATCACCCGTTCTCTGATCACTCCAAAACGTCTTTAGAAAGGAGCAATCAACCATGCTGAGTCGAGTGATGGCATTTGTTTTTCGTTTGAAAGTGGTCCAACATCTTTCTAGCGAGTTGTTGAAAATATTGACTCTATAATGAGAAACTGTCAAATGTCAAAAATCTGCTATGAAGGGGTTGGATCGCTTTGAAACGAAAAACAGACACTATCACTCGACTTAGCATGCCTGATTACTCCTTTCTAAAGACACTTTGGAGTGATCAGAGGTCGCGTGGGCAAAACGAAGGAAGTTTCTGAAAAATTCTTATATCTTCTTAACGGAACAAGGTAGAAATGTCGTCCCTGCGTAGTTCGATAAAGAGGAATGTTTGCTATCGAATGTTGGTATCATAAGTCAACATCACATCAGAAATTGACCTTCAAAACCTTGCCTTAATAATGTTCATCAAGAAGTTCACCTGATTGGTCAATATATTGATCAATGAAAATTGACATGTCTGGATGGCCTCCTCCGTCCTCTATTGAATGTTGAAAACCGCAGATCTTTATCTTGTTCCTATCAAAAGTTATTCAATTTAGAGTTACTTGCCTTTTATTTTGAAAAGGATGATAGCACAGGTGAATTCCTCTCATTAGGAAGAAGGTTAGTCATCCAACAACGTCGTCATTATGCAAGAATTATGTAATACTTTGTGCCATGTCACCAGCAAGAAGAATATTTATGGACACAATGAAGTCCCATTTCTAGACCTTATTCTTACAGTTCTAGAGAAAATGTGAAGTTGTTAAATCTGAAAGCCGAAATAGATCTGGAAAAAACTTGAAAAAATCCGTAAATTTTGCCGAATATCTAAAAATTCTGATGAATAAATAATATAAGATAGCACAAAAACCTCTACCGGACAGAAAACAGTATGTTATAATGTCACTTATAGGTAAGATTGTTCATTTCGTAAAAATCATTTAAAAACTTTTAGAAGGTTTCAGACAGTTTCTCAGAAGACTCAGCCATCTTCTGGCACCGCCATTAACTTTAAATCCTGTTGATAAGAAGTTTTCTATGAAAAATTATTAAAGTTAGATGCATTTTTGCGGCATCTAGCGATGAAAATCATGTTTTAGTTCATCAATTTTGATTGAATGAAAACAAGTTTTTTCGGAACTAGAGTTGTAACTGGTCGGAAAAAAAGACTAATCTGATCTGGTCCGCATAAAAGTCTTTCTGGACTGATAAAAGCCGATAAGTGCCGATCGGTTCAACTTTATCCACGTATTCGAACCCTGTTACAACTCAGATATATAATAACGTGCTGATTCTGATCTTTTTTGAAAGAGTGATTGATAAATCCTTTTGTTTAAAAGAAATTGCAAAAAATCAGAAAAGACATGTAAATCTATATTGCAAAAGCAACTGTAACTTTTTTCAAGGAAACAATCAACATAGATTCGCAATTTTTAACTAATTGTAAAGACTTATACATGTTTCTAAAATAGGCAAACCGGCCGATTCAGAATTATCCACCAGTCCGAATCAGCCGAATCGGTTATAACTTCGTTTGGTACCATTTTGTAGCGAATACTTTCCTCTATCTAATCACATAAATCGACCACACCTTTGAGATCGATGTAGCCACAGTATAATGCAAAAACTATCTAGACATGGACTTTGACCATGTTTAGTCACAGCAAACTAATTTGAAGCCACTAAAGAAGATTTAACAGCAAACTCAAAGTTGCTATTTTTCCGTGACAGAGAAAAGATGAGAAATCTTTTGACAACTATTTTT